TTGTTGGAGGGTAGCCGGTCCCTTTCAGTAAAATCAAAAGGCTTTATCTATAAATGTAGCGGTAGCGCTGTAGCGGCAAAACCTTGTTTCGCTAATTAAATATGTAGCGGGCGCTACCGCTACCGCTACATTGCCTTAAATGTAGAGCCGCTACCGCTACCGCTACTGAAAATGTAGCGGCCGCTAGTAGCGGCCGCTACATGTATCGCGCTACTGCCCACCTCTGTTAATAAATAATTATGAATTATGATTAATTATGTTTTTGTTTCGTTCTTTTCAATTTTTAATTCCAATAAATAATTAATTCATGAATAATAATATTAATTTTTCAAGAAAAGTTTAAATTTTAATTTAATAATCGAGGCAAAAAAATTTAACTCTGGGCAGACATTTAATATAATTTTGAAATAGATAATTAATTTATACCAATAAATATATGTAATGATCTATTATTGTTATTATTTATTATTATAATTATTATCGCCACACAAAATTAATAGATTTTTAATATATCTTAATTACATATAATTCTTAATTGAGATGCTGATAATTGTTCCAATTAACAATGCTTAATTAACCAATATTTAATAATTTATATTCAACAATTATATATTTTGTTTTCGTTTAAATTGTTTTTCTTAATATACAATTTAACTTTAAATATTTGATATTCAAATTTTGGTTAAATCGTTCAATCTAATTTTATATAATTTATATTTAATGTTAATCCTTTAAAATAAAATGGTTTCTGTGATTCCGGCCTTGAGCTTTTTTTTTAATGGAAAAAAATTATCTAAAAAATCTTTTTCATATGAGAAATTTTCTATGAAAATATTTTTGCCATAAAAAATTTTCAATAAATTTTTTAATTTATTTTCAATAAAGTTAATTTTTGTGCTTCATAATTAACCAAAAATTCTTAATAAAAAACATCAAAACTTGTTAAGTTTTTTTTAAACATTAGATTAATAAAATAAAAGATAATTTTTTACATGTTTCGGTTATGAGGTAAAAAAATGAATAAAAATTCAGATTTCAGATAAAAAATTGATTATGAATAATGGAATTAATAACGAATTATATATAATCTCTAAGAACTGTTGGCATTTATCAAATAAAAATTTTTAATTATGAATTTTGAAAAAAAGTAAACAATGGTTGATCCATTGTAAAAAAATTTAAAGGATAAAGAAAATAAATAATATATTTTCCGAAATTTTATTTCAAGTTAAAACTTTTTTTATAATTTCGCACAACCACGAAGCGTTGCCCTCAATCCCTCCCCAAAAAATAACTTAATAGAAAAAACTTAAAACAAAAATTACACAAAATAATTGATTATTATGTAATAAAAGTTTTATAACACAATAATAAATTATAATAATTAAACTAATTATTTAATCAAACTTTTCACGAAAATTCGGGAAAATAACAAAATGCAGAAATATATTCTAAATTAAATTTTTCAGAGCAAATAACAAAATTTAAATTTTAACAAAATTTTTAAAAAATTTTAATTTAAATTAATTTAAAATTAAATTTATTCTAAATTAAATTTTTCAACCGAAATATCAATTAACAAATTAATAATCTCATCACATAAAAATAATTGAATTAATGTTATCAAACTTATTTAAAATACCAATACCATTTAAAAAATATTTTAAATAAATAAATTATTTAAAATACCGCCGAGCCAAAATATACAAATAATAAATAAATTAATAAAAAATAAACAATAAATAAATAAATAAAATATAAATAGAAGCTTTCAAGCCGAACAACATTAAATAGATTATTATCAATTATAACTAAATACTATACTTACTAATCGACAATTAATGAATATTTAAATACTAAAAGCAATAATCGAACAAAATTAATTAGTATTGTGACATTTCAAGTAATTTTCGCACGAAAATATAAATTTAAATTATTAATAACCCGATAATCTATTATTATTATTAATATTTTATTATTATTAATAATAATAATATTATTATTAATATATTAATAACCCGGAGGCATAAATAAAAATATTTCAATTCAATTCAATATTTCAATTCAATTCAATTTTTTATTAATTATTTTTTTTTATTCAATTCAATATTTCAATTTAATCAGATTAATTTTTTTTAATATTTTTCAAAACAATAATTTAATTAAATTATTGAAAATTATTGAATAAATGGTATTAAATTTAATTAAAACATGTTAATTAACATGTCAAGTTCCAATTAATAATACTTAATTAATAAAAAATTAATTACTTAATTAGTAAATAAATAATTAGTAATTAATTAACAAGTAAATAAAGATTATTAATTAATTAATAGGTCATTAATTACTTAATTCAATTATTACCTAATTAATTAGTTACTAAGTACTCAATCCCCCATTAATATTAAATAAATAATATTTAATTATTTAAATAAAATCACAACTGATTAAATCTAAATCTACATCTACCATGTGACATTAAGTAGATAACCCAAGGAAAAAATAATATTATTCAAATAATCTACTTCTGGAATACTAATTGAGATTTGGTAGATTTCTGCTTACGTCAAGTAGAATTTCAAAGTCTACTGTCAACAAATACTATAAATCTACTGTAAATCTACCGCAGTAGAATTACTGAAAATCTACCGCAGTAGAATTACTGTAAATCTACCGCAGTAGAATCACTATAAATCTACCGCAGTAGAATTACTGTAAATCTACCGCAGTAGAATTACTGTAAATCTACCGCAGTAGAATTACTGTAAATCTATCGCAGTAGAATTACTACAAATCTACCGCAGTAGAATCACTATAAATCTACCGCACTGTAGTAGAACACGCAGCCAGTAGACTCTCGGTAGAAAGACATACAGAGCCTTATGCTTTTTAATTTATTTTCTAGAGTAGATTTTTACTAAGTAGATTCCTAATAAAAACATCTACTGAGTAGACATATACAACATTTCAACATCGCTGGTTCCTACAAGTAATAAGCTGGAGACCTACCAACTAGTAGATAGCAGTAGAAATCTACTGGTAGATAGCAGTAGACATCTACTGGTAGATAGCAGTAGATGTCTACTGCTATCTACCAGTGAGATGTCTACTGCTATCTACCAGTGAGATGTCTACTGCTATCTACCCTGTCTCTTATACACATCTAGATGTGTATAAGAGACAGGCAGTAGACATCTTACTGGTAGATAGCAGTAGACATCTTATTGGTAGCAGTAGACATCTACTGGTAGATAGCAGTAGACATCTTACTGGTAGATAGCAGTAGACTAAATATTTATTGTAATTAGTAGAAATATGAGCTTGAGATCAACTAGTAGAAGTAGACACGACAGTAGACAAGCACTCCACAGTAGATTTCTAAGCAACTCAGACTGGCAAGTAGACAGTAGATAACTATAGCAAACCTACCATTTGATGCTTCTACCAACAAGCAGAGTAGATTAACCTTATAGTGGTAGATATTCAGTAGATCGAAATCTTTTATACAATACAGTGCATTGTAAAGTAGATGAGTAGGTGAGTAGAACATTCAACGCAAGATTATCAAATGTAGATATCGCATTAAAAAGATTTGCAAAATTAACATTTTTTAGTAGATAGTAGATTAGTATATAAAAAGTAGATTGCATAATTCTGTCAAAAGTCTTATCAAAATAATATGTGGCTGGTAGAATCATCTACGAGTAGTTCAAGTAGATATATAACTCTTGGACAGGAATTACAAGTAGATAAGTAGAGTTTCTAAGGTGGCAGAACTTTGGCAAAGCTGGACAGAAGTAGATAGGTAGACAAGATATATACTCGTCATGGTAGTCGGTAGATTTCGGTAGATTTCTGCTACCAAACACGCGCGTATAAGTAGATCATATAAGTAGATTTTCTAGCATAAATTCTGCAGTAAAATAAGTAACAGGTGCCATTTTCATACACTCACAAGTAGATTTTGTAAGTAGATCATAAAATTACTTTCGTAGATCACAAAAGTAGAATTTTGTAAATTTGTCAGTAGACAACTCCAGTGAACCACGTTCACAATCTACCACACTGAGAAAAATGAGTGGGTCAGGCTGACCCACTTAGATGAGTTAACCGCGTTCAAATATCGACACACTTTTTTGACTCACTTGCCCCATTTGTGGGTCATAAATTTAACGCCACAAGTGAGTCATGCCTGAAATTTAAAGGGCCAGTAATAGGTCAGTCTTCTAAGTGGGTCAGCCAGACCCACTTATTTCTCTCAGTGCATATTGCGTAGATAAGATGAACGATTAAAGGTAGAATGACACATTTTTTCGTCTACCAGAGAAATTGATCAAATTCGAGTAGATTAGAATTACTACAGGTAAGGGTAGACAGCAGTCGTTTGAAGATACTCTACTCTACTAGTAGAACTAGCACTACTCGTAGAACTAATACTCGACTAGTAGACTAGCACTCTACTAGTAGAACTAGTACTCTACTAGTAGAACTAATACTCTATTAGTAGAACTAGCATTCTACTAGTAGAACTAGTACTCTACTAGTAGAACTAGTACTACTAGTAGAACTAATACTCTACTAGTAGAACTAGTACTCTACTAGTAGAACTAGTACTCTACTAGTAGAACTAATACTCTATTAGTAGAACTAGCATTCTACTAGTAGAACTAGCACTACTAGTAGAACTAATACTCGACTAGTAGACTAGCACTCTACTAGTAGAACTAGTACTCTACTAGTAGACTAATACTCTACTAGTAGACTAGCACTCTACTAGTAGAACTAATACTCTACTAGTAGAACTAGCAATACTAGTAGAACTAATACTTTACTAGTAGAACTAGTACTCTACTAGTAGAACTAGTACTCTACTAGTAGAACTAGTACTCTACTAGTAGAACTAAAGTAGACTAGCACTTTACTAGTGGAACTAGCACTACTAGTAGAACTAATACTCTACTAGTAGAACTAGCACTACTAGTAGAACTAATACTCTACTGGTAGAACTAGTACTCTACTAGTAGAATACAGAACATGAGCATTAAGTTCAAGTTAATGCAAATTTGATCATGACTGAGAACCCCCAAAGTGCATAATTCTTTTACAGATCAAACCTGGAATTTAATACTTATTCCAATAGGATTTAAATCCGTGGAATTCAGCACGCCTTACATTTTTGGTATAACTTACAAATCGTCATCTACAGTGAGCATGAGTAGAGTAGAATAACTTTTGTCGAATCTACCAAGAAGTGGTAGAACATCAATACCAAGTAAGTAACCTACCAGGAGGGGGTAGACCATCATACCAAGTGATACCACCTCCCTCTTACAACACCTAACCTTCTGTATCACATGGTTTCAGGTTAACCTACCAGGAGGTGGTAGAACATCAATACCAAGTGATACCACCTCCCTCTGTCAACAACTAACTCTCTGTGCCAGATGGTTTCAGGTTAACCTACCAGGAGGTGGTAGACCATCATACCAAGTGATACCACTCCCTCTGTCAACACCAAACTCTCTGTGTCAGATGGTTTCAGGTTAACCTACCAGGAGGTGGTAGACCATCATACCAAGTGATACCACTCCCTCTGTCAACAACTAACTCTCTGTGTCAGATGGTTTCAGGTTAACCTACCAGGAGGGGGTAGACCATCATACCAAGTGATACCACTCCCTCTGTCAACACCAACTCTCTGTGTCAAATGGTTTCAGGTTAACCTACCAGGAGGTGATAGACCATCATACCAAGTGATACTACTCCCTCTGTCAACACCTAACTCTCTGTGCCAGATGGTTTCAGGTTAACCTACCAGAAGGTGATAGACCATCAATACCAAGGGACAATAACCCCTCTGTCATCACCATATTCTCCATCTTGGATGGTTCCAGATATGACCGCACTATCAATGGGATATATTGGTTTCTTGACCACTTCCCTCCGGCTCGTAAATTAACAGTAAGTTTGTCCGTTTGTCTACAAAATTTTAGATCTTGTCAAGAGTTGATACATTCCTTCAAACTGATGAGGGAACTTATCCTGCCCCAAACAAACCAAACTTGAGTCCTTAATTCCAGCTACTGTGTCCGCACCTCAGGACAAAACTTGCACTCAAGGAGCCCGGGATCAAGAGTTTCGGAAGATTTCGTCGTATTTGAACTTCAGACCGTCTTGCAGATCATAATTGTTGGCAAAAAACAGGTACACCCAGATTTCCAAGTAGGAAGTAATGACCTTCAAAGATCCAACAGAAAACATCAAACAACAGCCATTCTCGACGATAATCATAAATCACCATAAAACATCATAACAACCGTACCCTTTTGAACGGTTTCAACTTTTCAAAGGATTTCTCACTTATACTATGCAGATGACATCATTTCCATACACCGGACGTCTTATGTACGTAACAGGAGTATAAGCTTTCCACTTTACGAATATATGGTGATGACTTCTCTGCCGCCACCGCGCACCATCAAAACTCTCTCTAGCCCCTCTGTCAACACCTCGAGGAACTCCATGTAGTTGCTTTCGGTCTCGGGGCGCGTTTGTTTGGGCGGGCCAGGCAGGTTCAAGATCACCAACTGCGCGTTGTGACTTTTATTCACTATCACCTCGTTCAGCTTCACTGCCGTGTGCATGCGACGAACGTTGGCCTCGTCCCTGCACGTCAAAACTGGAGCGTTAGTGACGGTGAAAGAGGGTGTTGTCAGTTATGGGTAGACGTCAGTGATAATGAAAGAGGGTGTTGTCAGTTATGGGCAGACGTCAGGGGAGTGACACAGTGGGTGTTGTCAGTTATGGGCAGACGTCAGGGGAGTGACACAGGGGATGTTGTCAGTTATGGGCAGACGTCAGGGGAGTGACACAGTGGGTGTTGTCAGAGGGTGTTGTCAGTTATGGGCAGACGTCAGTGATGGTGACAGGGGGTGTTGTCAGTTATGGGCAGACGTCAGTGACGGTGACAGGGGGTGCTGTCAGTTATGGGCAAATGTCAGTGACGACGAAAGAGGGTGTTGTCAGTTATGGGCAGACGTCAGTTATGATGAAAGAGGGTGTTGTCAGTTATGGGCAATCGTCAGTGACGATGAAAGAGGGTGTTGTCAGTAATGGGCAGACGTCAGTGATGATGAAAGGGGGCGTTGTCAGTTATGGGCAGACGTCAGTGATGATGAAAGAGGGTGTCTTTTAACAAGTCTACAAACTAACATGTACTAACAAAATACAATATGTTCAGTATGGACATAACAATAGACATGTTTAATTAACAACATGTTCAATATGGACATAACAATGAATATGTTCAATAAACAACATGTTCAACATGGACATAACAATGAACATGTTCAACAAACAATATGTTCGATATGGACATAACAGTGAACATGTTCAATGAACATAATGTTTCATATCGACATAGCAATGAACATGTTCAATATTGACATTACAATGAACATGTTCATTGAACAATATGTTCAATATGGTTACAACAATGAACATGTTCAGTATGGACATAACAATGAACATGTTCAATATGGACATAACAATGAACATGTTCAATATGGATATAACAATGAACATGTTCAGTATGGACATAACAATGAATATGTTCAATGAACAACATGTTCAATATGGATAACAACGAACATGTTCAGTGAACAACATGTTCAATATGGACATAACAACGAACATGTTCCATGAACAATATGTTCAATATGGACATAACAACGAACATGTTCAGTGAACAACATGTTCAATATGGACATAACAAAGAACATGTTCACTAAACATGCACTCACGGTTTAAGGGCCAGAAGTTTCTTGAAGTTCTCGTTGGTGGAGGCGCGTTGGGCGGGCTCATCGCCCCCTTCACCCTCACCTTCTTCCTCCACCTGGGGGGTCGAGGGGAAGAAAAAACTTTAGTAATAATATTTTTTTTAAATGTGCCAAGACAATCGTTAATTAAACAAGCTAAATATTGAGTAAAAACGCCTAAAATATCGATGACACGCTCTCTTGACCTATTCATTATACCATCAAAACATTTTTTAGTCAGTAAAATAAATGAGTTTCCCTCACATTTTCTAGTCAGCAAAATAAATGAGTTTCCCTCAACTTTTCTGGTCAGAAAAATAAATGAGTCTCCCTCAAACTATCGCACAAAATAATTGAGATTCCCTCAGATTTTCTATCCCGCAAAACAATTGAGTTTCCCTTACGATTTTTATCCCACAAAATAATGTAGCATTCTCATTGAAACTGAATATTATAAAAATAAATTAATATCCTCTTAATTCAGTTTTTTCATTGAAACTGAGTAACCATTAAAATAAATTAATATCTCCTCTTACATTTTCTGGAGGGGGTAGAGCGTCGGGGTCGGGGTTGGGGTCGGCGGCCCCCTCCTCGGGGTTCTCCTGGAAGCGGACGCGGCTGGACACGTGCTCCACCGACGAGTGGTGGTGGTCCACTATGGACTGGACCTGTGGGGGGGGGGATAAAAAAGGTGAACGAGGGGGAGGGGTATATATAGGTTGACGGGGGGGAAGGGGTATATAAAGGGTGACTGGGTGTTGTATATAAAATAGTTACCCTATTTATAGGGTACCGGTATCAGGGTTAGGGCTTTTCTTTGAGTACCCAGGAACCTATAGTAGAATCTATGACCCTAAAGTAGAACCTATGACCCTGAAGTAGAACTTATGACCCTAAAGTAGAACTTATGACCCTAAAGTAGAACTTACGACCCGAAAATTGGACCTATGACCCTAAAGTTGAACCTACGACCCTAAAGTAGAACCCACGACTCTAAAGTAGAACCTACGACCCTAAAGTAGAACCTACGACCCTAAAGTAGAACCTACGACACTAAAGTAGAACCTATAACACTAAAGTAGAACCTACGACCCTAAAGTAGAACTTACGACCCTAAAATAGAACCTATGATCCTAAAATAGAACCCACGACTAAAGTAGAACTTACGACCCTAAAATAGAACCTATGATCCTAAAGTAGAACCCACGACTAAAGTAGAACCTACGACCCTAAAGTAGAACCTATGACCCTAAAGTAGAACGTACGACCCTAAAATAGAACCTATAACCCTAAAGTAGAACCTATGACCATAAAGTAGAACCTATGACACTAAAGTAGAACCCACGACTCTAAAGTAGAACTTACGACCCTAAAGTAGAATCTACGACCCTAAAGTAGAACCTATATGACCCTAAAGTAGAACCTATGGCCCTAAAGAGGAACCTACGACCCCAAAGTAGAACCTACGACCCTTATGTAGAACCTACGACCCTAGAGTAGAACCTACGACCCTAAAGTCGAACTTATGACCCTAAAATAGAACCTACGACTCTAAAATAGAACTTATGACCTTAAAGTAGAACCTACCACCCTAAAGAAGAACCTACAACCCTAAAGTAGAACCTATGACCCTAAAGTAGAACCTATGACCCTAAAGTAGAACCTACGACCCTAAAGTAGAACCTACTACCCTAACTTAGAACCTACGAGACTAAAAAGTTAAGTTGGACTTGTACAAGTTTGAACTTAGGTTTGAAAGATTTACTAAGGTTAAGTTTTGAACACATAAACTCTATTCTAATAACCAAACAACATTAAAAAAACAATAAAAAACAACATTAAAAACAAACAAATTAACAACATTTGTTAATAATTTGTAGGTTTAGGATGTGGACATTGAAAAGCAACAGCCTATATGAATTGTGTATAGGCCTACTTACGAAATATAATGATTAATGGAAGGTAGACATATTTATGATACATAATATGTGGTGCATGATGGACCACATGGCTTGGTAGATGTGATATGACCGCATTATGGACCACATGGCTTGGTAGATGTGATATGACCAATGGTAGATACACACATGATATGTGGTAGATGATGGACCACATGGCTTGGTAGATGGTAGATACACACATGATATGTGGTAGATGATGGACAATAGGGCATGGTAGATGGTAGATATGGTAGATGATGGACCACATGGTATGGTAGATGGTAGATTACAAATTACTGAATGACTTAAATCATAATAAGTGAGTCATTTTGACCCACTTACTCGTTTCAGTGTAGGTTTGAGTAAGTAGGAGGATGTTAAGTAGATGACGGTACTTAGTGTAGGGTAATTACTACTTATTGAATGAACATTATTTATATATAATAACCTTAACACGTTGACTAGGATTGCTTCATCTTGTACTATTATTTCATTTTTTGTTCTGTTTTTAAACAGTTTTTCATTTTCATTTTAGTTTTTCATTTCACATTTCAGTTTTTCAAAACAGTTTTTCATTTTCCTTTTTGTTTTTCATTTTACCAGACGGTCATTTTTTTCCGGACAAATTCCGTGATTTAGTTTTTCTCAATTGTGTTGGCCGGCTAAAATTTATGATAGGGGTACTTCCTAATTAAATTTTAGATACTGCAAAAAGAAAATAAATGGAATTTTTATAGCGGAACCTACAAATAAACTACCTAGTTTATATAGAGTTATTGGCCTTTTTTGGCCTTTTTTGTTCTCGTATTTGGCCGATTTTAGGCAACCTGAATTATGTACTAGTATACATTGAATTATCGGCCTTTTTGGCCTTTTTTGTTCTCAGATTTGGGCGATTTTAGGCAACCTGAATTATGTACTAGTATACATTGAATTATCGGCCTTTTTGGCCTTTTCTGTTCTCGGATTTGGCCGATTTAAGGCAACCTGAATTATGTACCACTTCGTAGTGGTGCTTAATATATTAATAATTAATAATTAATAGTAGTGGTTAATATATATATTAACCTTCGTAGTTAACGTGTTAAGGAAGGTTATTACATAAACTAGTTCAATTCATGCATAGTGGATAAATAGGAATAAATAGATTAATTAAGTGATAATTTTGTAAAATAATTAATAAATAAATATTAACTATTAAACTTTGATTAAGTGAAGGAGAAAATAATTAAATGATTTTTCGGTAAAAAAAAATACTTAACAAATGAATATAAGTGGAAATATAATAGTTAAAATAGGTAAAATTAATATGGTGAACATGGCGACTTTAGCGTGGTGAACATGGCGACTTTAGCGTGGTGAACATGGCGACTTTAGCATGGTGAACATGGCGACTTTAGCGGGGTGAACATGGCGACTTTAGCGGGGTGAACATGGCGACTTTAGCGTGGTGAACATGGCGACTTTAGCGTGGTGAACATGGCGACTTTAGCGTGGTGCACATGGCGACTTTAGCGTGGTACACCTCACTAGTTCCACTAGTGGCACGTCACTAGTCCCACTAGTGGCACGTCACTAGTTCCACTAGTGACACCTCACTAGTTCCACTAGTGACACGTCACTAGTTACACTAGTTACACTACTAGGCAACATTTATCAGCAGAACTTGGACATCTTACATCGCCGAGGGCAGGCTGGGGCGCGGCCGAGGGTAAAGAGGGTAAATCGTTAGAAAATTACCCTATATAAAACATATCTAAATATATGTAGGTAGGGTACAAATTATACATTTTTATTGGCAAAAACCATACAATTAGGGTAAATCGTTAGAAAATTACCCTATATAGACATATTTAAATATACGTGGTTAGTGTAAAAATTATACATTTTTAGGGGTAAACACCATACAATTAGGGTAAATCGTTAGAAAATTACGTACCCTATATAAACATTTAAATATATTTAGGGTAAAAATTATTCATTTTTATAGGCAAAAACCATACAATTAGGGTAAATCGTTAGAAAATTACCATATATAAAACATATTTAAATATACATGGTTAGGGTAAAATTATACATATTTATTGGTAAAAACCATACAATTAATTCATGTATTATTCATGTATATCGATGGTTATTCGAGGTGGCAGTCGTTCAATATTCAGCAATACTGCAAATAATTATACAAAGTCAGATGTATATAATGTATAGTTTACAGCAAACTACACAAGGAAGAAGTATACAAGGCTGAAAAAACATGGGTAAAATTAATCCACACAATACAGAACTACATAATATACAAGGGCCGGAGATGTTCTATTCATACAAAATCTGCCTCTAAAATATATAAAAATGGATGAAAATACATGAAATGTATAGATTGAAAATACAAGGGAAAACTGTACACAATCACACCATCATGTATTAAAAATTGTATGAAGGGAGCATACAGAGTCATACTTCCTGTATAAAAAGTTTGTATGGAAACTATACACCATTAATACAGCTGAGATGAGTAGTAATGAGGAAAAACAGCAAAATGAGAAGAAAACACACAGCTACACAATCACTGTAATTCAGAATGAGAAAAATATAGACAGGTATACAGGGCAGTAAACAGGCAGTATACTGGCAGGTATACAGGCAGGTATACAGGCAGTATACAGGCAGGTATACAGGCAGTATACAGGCAGGTATACAGGAAGTATACAGTCAGTATACTGGCAGTATACAGGCAGGTATACAGGAAGTATACAGTGCAGTATACAGGCCTGTCTCTTATACACATCTAGATGTGTATAAGAGACATGACGACTTTAGCGTGGTGAACATGACGACTTTAGCGTGGTGAACATGGCGACTTTAGCGTGGTGAACATGACGACTTTAGCGTGGTGAACATGGCGACACCGAGATCTATACATTGAACATATTTGTATATTGTATATACATGTCAAACATGGTAGCTCATACATGTTGAACATAAGATGAACAATATATAAATAATAATTAAAATAATTTAAATTAAAAAATAAACATTATCATAAGCATGGCTGAGGTTGCTACAACATTAAACATTAAGTGTACAATTAATAAATATTATTTGTTATATCAACATCGAAAAATGGCAACATGGAAAGCGGGTGAAAAATTGGTTAACTAGCGAACTAGGTGGCAACTAGTGGACCGAGCTAGTTCCACTAGAGGCACGTGACTAGTTCCACTGGTGGCACATCACTAGTTCCACTAGTGGCACGTGACTAGTTACACTAGTAGCACGTCACTAGTTCCACTAGTAGCACGTCACTAGTTCCACTAGTGGCACCACATTAGTTCCACTAGTGGCACCACACTAGTTCCACTAGTGGCACCTCACTAGTTCCACTAGTGGCACCTCACTAGTTCCACTAGTGGCACCTCACTAGTTCCACTAGTGGCAC